CCAAGACCAACCCAGCTTATGCTAGAGGCGGCTATACCGCGATCCCGACCGCTCTGCCTGCCCATCGCGTGGATGAAGCCGAAGACGACGACATTGAGAAGCCGCAGGGTGCCGCAGAATCCCCCGAGGAACAGGAAGATGCTGAGGAAGATGAGGAGGAAGGAGAAGAAGCTGAAGCAGACGAAGAGGCCGGAGAAGAAGATGACGATGCGGAGGGCGAGGAGGACGATGACGAGGGAAGCCAGAACTCCAAGCCGACTATTCTTATCCGCCGCAGAGGACCGGGTAGATCGTCATCGTCTAGGGCCGTGACATCTCGCAAATCAAATGCTCGAACTGCCACGCCTAGTCGCCCCGACTATGATTACGAGGGCGTCTCGTACAAGGGCCTCAACTTCCAGGCAGCTCAAGAGAAGATTGTGGAGGAAATGATTCGCAAGAAAGAAGCCGGGTAAGTGACCTTTTCTCTTGATTGCTGTGGATCATGCTAATACGCCGTCTAGCGAGGACGAGGCTTACTTTGAACCCTTCGTCAACCTTCCTCCGCGGGCCTTGAAAGACTATTACAGAGTCGTGAAGGATCCCATGTCGCTTAGAAAGCTTCAGAAGGCCACGAAGGGCATTCATGGGCGCAACGAGGCCACCGGCATTAGCGACTACAAGACTTGGGCGGCGTTCGAAGAAACAGCCAGCTTGCTCTGGGATAACGCCAAGTACTACAACGAAGAGGGAAGCGAAATCTATGAACTGGCACGAGAACTTCAGGTATGTCTCACCTTGACGACTAGTCATGAGATCAACTTCTGACAAGGGTGCAGGAATTCTTCGCCGACGAAATCAAAAAGGCCAAGACAGCTGTGCCAGAGCCTTCGCAGCCCAAGATCAAGCTTAAGGTCCAGCAGTCAGCTACTGAGCAGCCTTCCACATCCAAGAAGATTACCATCCATGTTGGGGGCAAGAGTGAATCCGCGGACTCGCCCGCACCCACAGTCCCCCAGGCAGCCGGAGCCACCGTCAGTGATCAAGCGCCACTTGGCAATGGTACTGCTCGCCAGGGTGGACTACCAGCTGCTTCCGCTGCGATGGACAGACTCCGAAGCACATCGGCCGCATCCCCGAGTCCCTCTGTTGCGAACAATATCAAGCGCGAGGACGCAGCACGACCTTCTCCTGCAGTGACGCCCGGTCAACCCAGCACGCCTTCTGCTGTCCCGCCGCCTGCGGGCCAGACAGCAAACCTATCCAGCGCCACGTTCCAACCCATTGGAATCGTGCAGCCTCAGCCGCAGGCGAATGCCAACCCACAGCCGCCTCCGAAGCCTCTGTGGGATCAGCAGTTCCGTGCGCCTGGCAAGAGTACGTACAGTGCGAGAGAGATGAAAATGACTATATCACTAACCAAGCTCTCAGGCGCTGCCGATGCACTCATCACCAATCTGACTATTCAGGCTCATCCGATGATCAATATCGGAAGTCGCTTCAACATGAGCTTAAACCCCCTCGATAGAGAGTGCAAACAGTCTGTGACCGTCCATGTCCCTGCCACCCAGCTGAGACTCCAGGTCATCGCGACTTTGCCCATGTTCCTCGAGAAGGAAGGACGTCAGTGGCGATTGTGGGTGCAGGTCAACCGATCTACTGTACAGCAATCTCATCCCATTCAGGGCCAGGTGCTTCCCGTCAACGCTAGAGTCTTTGACGTTCAGCTCCAGGCTGGAATGGTCAATGAAATTGACGTCTCCGTCGCGGCTGCTCTGCCTAAGGGACAAAAGCTGCCGAATGGAGCCGATTTCGAGGTGGAGACAATGACACTGCTTGCCAACGTGCCCCGGAACTAGGAGTCTTCCGACACTACTAGTCAAGCTGTTTCGTCTGACAGCTATTCTGGCGTCCAACACATCTACGGAAACGAGGCGGACGTTCAGCCTATCGACCAAGTGCGTTATGAGAATCGTCAGGCGCATGAGGGTGTTCCCGCTCCTACTCTACTGCCTCCAACCACCTTGCGAGACGTCTGGGATCAAGCTGAACTTAGAGACGCGACAGCTGCTTCCGTGGCGAACCCACTCAGGTTTCGGGAGTACATCACAAACGAAGGATTGACCACCTTTTACCCGCCCATCCCAAGTTGGCCTGAAGACGATGACTTGTCGCCGCATGTGCCTACCGCTCAATCGCCTGCAGCGATGACTCCGGTGACAACTCCGGCTACGACTCCTAACTATGGAAACAACGATTATCCAGCTGCTTCGCCTCAGGATGGATCTCATATATTTCCCCGCTTACAGAGGCTGATGTCTGAAGAGGCAGAGCATCTGCCCCTTCTGAGTGACTCGGTGCAGCCCCGGTCTTCCAGAGCTCCTCGGCCCGTGGATCATGCCGCCTCCCAGGCATACATAGTGTCAACACCGACTAGAGAGGCTCATACTGCAGAGACTCGCGTGAGACAGGAACCCTACACAACCCCCAAGTCGGCATTCTTACGTCACAATACTCAGCCAAACGCGGGCTTTAGCCAGTCCCCACATGCAACACAACAGTCCCCGGGTGCGCAAGCTGCCGATGGATTCTTTGGTCATTTACCGCAGCAACTTCGCCTTGTCAACTCCGGATTGCCAGGCGAAACCATGCGACTGCAACTTCAGCAGGCGCGGATTGTCTGGGAGAATGGCCGGCAGGCTCGAGAGCATTTCCAGTCTCAAGTGCATCTTCAGTACCAGCAATCCCCATATCGTTCTCAGCAGCGTTCCGAGATGAAAGTCAAACAGGAGGGTGCTCGGATGCCTATTCAGGATGCTCAGAACGCGGCCGTCAACAACCAGGTGGGCAAGGTTATCAAGCAAGAAGCCCAGACTTTGGGAGATCTTGAGAGCCAGCATTACGCACGAAAGTACGTGGCGGTGACTCGAGAGGACTACGGTTACATGGGCTACTACTCGACCACTGAGATGATGGCCATTAGGCAGCGTGAGAGAAACGCTGGTCCTCAGCCCAAGAGACCGGCGCTGGAGGGCGACCCGGATGGTGAGTATGTCTGGTCTATTTGATAGCCAAGCCGTGCCTTCCTATGGAACCATATCCATTTTGCCTCAAGCGGCGACATGTTCTTGGTGGATATCTAAGCACTTGCTGGGGCGATAGGGGTTTTCTGGTTCTCGTGGATTTCACTTTCTGGGATGTACTTGTGCGCTTTTCGCGCCTCGGATCCGTCTGGGTACTCTTTCTCGGTTCTGGGCTTGGAATGGCTTTGTAGCCGCCATAGTATCGCCATTACAACCGCCATTGTAGAGTAAATTGCTATCATTAGATAGGAAATGAGCTTATATATACACGCCAAGTTGTATGCCCAAATGTAGTAAAACCGAGGCATGAATGACTGATTTCTTGATCGCTGAGTTGCCTTTGATCTGTGAGCCTAGCTCAAATGTCTCGATTCGTTGAGACGGGATGCAATGAGGAATTGATTCACGTTGAGGACAAGCACCGAAACACCAGACAGGCAGGTTTCTCTGGCTCATGAGATCTAGTCAAGGCGCGGCTGCAAATCCGTAGTGACTCACTGTAAATACGTTTGTTCTTTCGCAGGGATAATGCAGCAGATGTCACTTGGATATGAGCTTGCGGAGACAGTAGATCAAATAATTTGAAATACCTACTATACCTATCCAATCCCACGAATATCGCAAGGACTCTAGGAGTCATACTTGCATGACGTCGTCTGGGGATCCGTTATTGAAGTGTGGACCCTTGTGGGAAAACTGGAGCAGCATCTACCCCAGCACCCAGCAACCGGCAGCCAGATGATGTCTTGGAGGACGTCGGTAATGCGGACGGGGGCCCGTCGGAGGATCCGACAAAGCGACCTAACCATATTATGGCCTCGCGGTACCTGGGTCCGAGACGACGACCTCGAGGACCTAGCTAATCCCCTCGTTTTTCATTGTTTGTTCGATTTGTTCAACGAGCACGAAGATGGGCAGTCCCTCACATCATCATTGTTTCCTGAAGAGACACCCGGCTGGGGTTCCAATTAAGCACGGCAAGTTGCATCACTAGTACAGTCCGGGCTGGCGGCAATTGGTCTGATGTTTAATGCGTGGTAGCTGGTTGGCGCGAGGCACGCTCGGCTCAAGAGCGTGCTGCTCTTGAACCCACGAGGAGGACCGCGCAGCCGGAGCCAACTCTGTCAAACTTCGTCCCAGTTGTTGCCTTTGATGCTTAGCGCCGTTGGAGTTCCCGGGGAAAGAGTTAATTGAGGTTCTCAAGGGCAGTCCGGTCAGGTCATGATCTCCGACGGCACCATTGCGACAAGGCAACTCTGCCCTTTGCATTGCTGCAGGAGGTCGGCGCTCCGCCCAGGTAGCTGACCTTGCAGCTCCCAGGAACCCTGTCAACGGGTAGGCCAGTCCCCCTCTCGCCGCTCACAAATCAGCCAACAATGGCTGCAGAGACATCATCTTGGGCAGGATCCGACGAGGAGAACGAAAGGCGGTGTCTTTTCACGCAGGGCCATTATTGATGCAGGACCATGATCCATCAGCAGGTGGCAGGACTGCGCGGGAGGATGGCACAGAAACGGACACGGACCATGAACCCAGGCAAGCTGCAGCATGTGGAATTACCGCGTGAGGCTTAGCGTGTACCTCCAAGTGGGATATCGATCTTCCGATAACGGGGGGCTGATTGGCCTACGAGAGGTGTGGAGAGGTATTCCTCCAATAAGAGAGGTCAAATGCAGCCCACTTCAGGTGGCATCTAGCGGGGTACAGACAGGATAGACGTAACGACCGGCCCTTGGAAAATGTTGATTAAGAGTCAATGGCACAGTGCTGCAGCGCGGTCGGGGATGTGCCATGAGCGGGGCTAAAGAGTGGGAAAAATTCTTTTTTCCCGCTCATTGACTGGCTGACCTTGGGAACAGCGAACGCCGTCCTCGGTCATCACTGGCCATCCCGCCCAATCCACACCTTGTTGCGTACCGCCTCGCCTCGCCCGGTGCTATTTTTTTTTTACTTCCAGTTTTTCCTTACATATACTCTTGGCCTACTGTCCATCTTCCCAGTCTTCCTTTGAACTGTGACTCAACTTTCTCAAAAACCCCTTCTATAAATTCAACCATCATCCCGAGCTTCGACCTAGTTATCCTCGAACGATTCACTCTACTATACGACATACGGTGCATGAACATACAAGATGTGCCCTACTCCTGACGTCCCGGCCTCCAATGGCCACGCCAATGGCACCAATGGCCATGCAAACGGCAATGGCGCTGCCAACGGCACCAACAAGGCTGGTAAGTGTCGCAGCCTCTTGCACGTTATACTGTTGTCAATTGATGATGACTGACTTTATTGCGTCTAGACCACCCCGGCTTCACTGCCATTCCTGTAAGAACCATCAATCGCCTCCGAAAATCGCTTCCGCGGTACCGGTGACGAACTGTTCTGACCTCGACAATATAGACCAAGCAGAAGCACAGCAACCCGTACCAGCCGGTCGGCGACTTCCTCAGCAACGTTGACCGATACAAGATTAGTGTGTTCTGCCAAACAGGCTTCTTTTTGAGTCACCCCCACTGACCTGTGACGTATAGTCGAGTCCACCCTGAGAGAGGGCGAGCAGTTCGCCAACGCCTTTTTCGACACCGAGACCAAGATCAAGATCGCCAAGGCCCTCGACGACTTTGGTGTCGACTACATCGAACTTACCTCGCCTGCTGCCTCTGAGCAGTCCCGCAAGGATTGCGAGGCCATCTGCAAGCTCGGCCTCAAGTCCAAGATCCTGACTCACGTCCGCTGCCACGTAAGAACTTTCCTGCGTCCGCACGCCTAAACCAGGCAAGGACTAACAATGCGCAGATGGACGATGCCCGCCTCGCCGTCGAGACCGGTGTTGACGGTGTTGATGTCGTCATTGGCACCTCTTCATACCTCCGCGAGCACTCCCACGGCAAGGACATGACCTACATCATCAACACCGCCATCGAGGTTATCCAGTTCGTCAAGTCCAAGGGCCTCGAGATCCGTTTCTCGTCCGAGGACTCCTTCCGTTCCGACCTCGTCGACCTTCTCTCCGTCTACAGCGCCGTCGACAAGGTTGGTGTTCACAGAGTTGGTATTGCCGACACCGTCGGCTGCGCCAGCCCCAGACAAGTATACGACCTTGTCCGCACCCTGAGAGGTGTCGTCAGCTGCGATATCGAGACTCACGTAAGTCATCTTTGGATCGAGCGAGTATGGCGCATACCTAATATTTACACCTGAACAGTTCCACAACGATACTGGATGCGCCATTGCCAACGCCTACTGCGCGCTCGAGGCCGGTGCCACCCACAGTGAGTTCAATAATTGACGGCTTCGTACTGCGCACACACTGACATTCTACTTCAAGTTGACACCTCCGTCATCGGTATCGGTGAGCGCAACGGTATCACCCCCCTCGGTGGTCTGATGGCTCGCATGATCGTCGCCGCCCCCGACTACACCAAGTCCAAGTACAAGCTGCACAAGCTTAAGGAGCTTGAGGACCTCGTCGCCGAGGCCGTCGAGATCAACATACCCTTCAACAACTACATCACTGGTTTCTGTGCCTTCACCCACAAGGCCGGTATCCACGCCAAGGCCATCCTTAACAACCCCAGCACATACGGTATGTTTATTGAGACTGTTTCGTAACTGAGGACGTGACTAACTCATGTGCAGAAATTATCAACCCCGCCGATTTCGGTATGAGCAGATACGTCCACTTCGCATCAAGATTGACTGGCTGGAACGCCATCAAGTCGCGTGTGGAGCAGCTTGGTCTCACCATGACCGATGCTCAGGTCAAGGTTGTCACTCAGAAGATCAAGGCCCTGGCAGACGTCAGGCCGATTGCCATTGACGACGCTGATTCCATCATCCGTACTTTCCACTTGAACATTACGGAGGGTGAGGAGAAGCCGCTGTTGCCCAACTTGACCGCCGAGGAGCAGGCCAAGTTCGAGAAGGCGGAGAGAGAGCTTGCTGGCGAGCCTGAGAAGCGTGCTTTGGATGAGGCTGCCGCGGAGCCCGCGGCTAAGAAGGTTAAGGCGTAAATTTTTTTCACATTTCCGGGATGCATATGGGACACCAAAAAATGGGGCATCTGCTTGTACAATCATAGAGGGGAGAGCTACAAAAGTGTTTAGTTCAGATACCTCATCAACGAAGAAACGTTCAAAGTCGAAATGGTATTACACAATTGGATCGCTTAACTCTCAAGCGCCAGTGTTTTGAGATTTGTCGACCAGCAAGAGTTTCCATAGATTTGGAGGGGGCAACCAAGGCGTAATACGTTGATCAATCCCCAGCCATGTAGAGGGACTTTCAATTGGAACATGAATCAGTTACTCCCTAAGTAAGAGCTCCATGTTTCCTGTCATCGAGGTAATGACATGAAATGCTCAGCTGTCGGTTGGGTCGACAATTGATGTTGGTGGGGCTGGGTTCCATGGCTGGCTTGAGGCTAAGATAAGATAAGATAAGAACGGCAGAACAGAAAAATTCCGGTTCACCGACCAACTTTTTGATCCAGTACCCCGTCGCAATCCTCCCTCCATTTGCAGCCGCCCAACGAAGACAAAATCCAACGAATCCTCAGCCATGGACTCGTCCCCCATGCGCTCATGACACCTTCGAGCCTACCGACATCAATCCTCCTACTTACATTTCTCGCCATTCGGTTGCGAACCTAAGAAATCGAAAAACCTACCATCGAAAGCGACCAAACGACACAACCCCTCCAAACTCCCACAACCGACGAGAGAGAAAGAAAGAAAAAAGATGGACGCGCGCGCCCTCCTCCAGTCGCAGGGATGGCGCGGAAGCGGCCACTCCCTCCACGCGACAGACGACCGCATCGGCCTCGCGAAGCCGCTCCTCCTGAATCGCAAAGACAACACCAAAGGTCTGGGCACGAAAGCGCACTTTACTAGCGACACATGGTGGATGAACGCCTTTGACGAGCAGCTGCAAGGGTTGGATACTTCGAAACCGGGCCAAGTGACGCAGACGGTGACGGCGGGCCGGCTGAACCAGATTGAGAAAGTGTCGGGGGGCAAGTGGATGCTGTATGCGAGTTTTGTCAAGGGCGGGTTCTTGGAGGGGACGATTGAGGGGTTGGAGAGAATGAAGCAGGAGGGGCAGGTGGAGGAGAGGGTTAGGGAAGTTACTGGTGCTGTGGCGCCGACAAGTTGGGGTACGAGTATCGAGGATATGACGACGACAACAAAGGTGGACAGGAAGGGGAAAGAGGGAGAGACGAAGGAGGAGAGGAGGGCGAGGAAAGCTGCTAAGGCCGCGAGGAAGACGGCGAGGGAGGCGAGGAGGGTTGATCGGGCTGCGAAGAAGGTCTTGAAGGAGGAGAAGAGGGCACGAAGGGAGGTGAAGAAGGTCAAGAGAGAAGCGAGGAAAGCGGAAAAGGCGAAGAAGGGGGTGTCCGGTTGATGTCGTGAGCTAAGTTGAGGAAGGGGTTCTGAGCCGAAAAGAGTTGGCAAACGTGGACATGCCTCGCCACGCTTCGCCAAGCCGTACACAAGACCCCATCGCCGTGCCTACTATTTCGAAGAGCGAGGGGCTGGCTGTGTGGCGCCGACGTCGATGAGCATCAGCCGCCAGCTTTACGGCTTCGTTCGAGGGTTATAGCGGTGGTCAGGCGATTCTGTCAATAACAGGGGGGACTACATTATCATATGGCGCAAAGGTATATCCAAAAAGCATTGTTTGATAGATAGAAGATAGAGGTCACGCCGTCCAGCTTGGACGTCAGAGCAAATGGGGCTCTATTGCAGTCACAGGCTGCCACTTTGACGATAAGAGACCAAATTTTGGAAGGCTTAGTTATCAACCAGAATTCATGATGTTCTTATCCGCGACAATTTGGCCTCGGCCTTCTAAGGTGATGTATAACTCATCTCCATATAAAGAGTCGGGAGGCATAGAGGCAGATATGATATCTCCCTGTGGGTAGCTTTATCTCATGCCTGCCACCCCCTCGCCATTCTCTAAGCAGTCTGCCGCCTATGCGGATCCAGCCATATCCACGTCTCTTCCACAACGTGTAGACTAGAGGGGCTCCTAGACATAGCCGATAGTAGAATCAAGATTTCTCACCAAGAGATCTAGGGCATTCAAGTCTCCTTGGGGGTCTTCCCTGGCTTGTTAGAAAGCAGCCACGGCCTTCTGTCCCAAAAGTCGTCCTTGATGATGTCGAGATGCTCAATGACGACGCGGGCCTTAGTGCGCTTCTTCTTGTCCTTCTCCGCTTGCGTCTTGCTCTGTTGAACAGGCTCCGCGAGCGCATCTGCCGCCTGCGCGGCATTGTGCGTACCCGGTTCAACGAGCTCGTACTATAAAAGGATCGTCTTAGTCAGGGGAGTTCTAGGTCTCACGCATCCTGTCAATGAGCCATTTGAGAATGGACTTACGTCTCGGAAGACTACACTGCCTTTCTTGTTGATTTCGGGTTCGTTATTGTAGTTGATCTTGAATTTCGAGAAGAGGATCTCGTTCTTGTCCCCGGATACAGTCCCCTTGAGAGAAGGATTAGATTGTGTTTGTATTAGCATGCCTGGACTAAGGAGATCTCACCGCCAAGAGTTTCTCTGCCTCTCTGTTGTCTAGACCGCCTAATTGGATCAGAGCCCAGAATGTCGTGTTGTAGAGGTTGTTGATATGGCCTTTTACTAGATTAGCCTCCACAGAGCACGAATGACGACATTCGTGGAGCACTCACAATCGACTTGACGCCAGCTCATGTAGTCTCTCAAATTTGACACAGTAGGATAGCACACTGCTCTTCCGTCAAAGCTCGGCAGAGGCGAGGTGAGCGGGCTATCTGGGAAGTACTGTGACCATAAGTGCACGTAGTTGGCCGTGAACGTGGACACGACTGTGCTTGAGATCTTGCTAAACAATTTTAGCTAATGCAGCTTGGAATACTGGAAGCAAACCAGCAAGTCACTCCCGGAGAGAACGGGCCGCTTACCTGGCCCTTCTTTCGAAAAGGGTACACGATTTGTGAAACACGAAGCTGTATTCATCGCTGACACCGTAGGCGATGGTGATGTCTGGGAGCTCGGTGACGACGACCCTGGCAGCGGCGTTCATGAGGTCGATGGCTCTCTTGTCGTTGGGCTTTTCAAAGCCATACTTTGCACATAGTCTACGTGGTGTAAGGCAATGCCGTTGACGGTAGATTTTCCTCGACTTACTTGGTGAAACCTCGCCCGTCTATGCGGACAACGATCCAAGTGTTTGGCAAGAGAAAGTCGGGCTGCTCGAAGCTCTTGACGTATTCAAATCTGGAGACGCAGTCAGATCACGATTCAATAGGGCGGTGTAGACTGGACGTGGACTCTTACTTGGAGTTCGCCATTGTGAAGATGGGGAAGAACTAACCATCTGAGGTCTACTGCAGGGCAGTGTTGGAGACGAACTTCAGACAGCCCAGCAGACGGGATGGCGGGGGAGGGGTAGTTCTGCCGCTGCTTCAGTGGGGTCTAAATCTGAGCTGAGATGGGCGCAAGGATCAGGGATGTCGAAAGACAGCAGTTCCCTTTCATCCTTTCCATCATTTGTTCCGCCATGGACAAGCTGTGTCATTCATTTTCTATTTTAATCTCCTGCTAATTATATATATAAAAAAAAGATATAGAAGAGTCCTTTCTACTATGCTGCAACAGAGAAAGCCAAAGCAATACGATCGACAGACGTCTCTGTTCTCTAGTTCCCCCTTGATCGTGCCTACTGTCTCGTAGAAACGAATAACTGTGAGGCAGAATCCGGGCCAAAGAAAAAGATTCGGTAGCCAAGTAAATCTCGATCGATATTGAGCAAGAAGTCACTCATTATTGAAATTTCTTCTCAAGATGACAGAGGCAGGCTTGTAGAGGTATGTACTCCTATACCTGAGGTACTCCGGTGGCAGGCAACGTTGTGGGGCCTGATCCCTGGAGCACTTCAGCCTTGCAAGCGTAAGAAAGGCAGACGCATGCGCACGGCTGCGCTCCAATAATTATTCTGCGAATCCAGCCCATCTCAAGCTTGCGACCTGCACCACCATACCCCTCAATCCAAAGCACGCAAAGCTCGTCTAGATCGCCAGCTTGCGGAAGCAGCTGAGCCTTCCGCGATCATGAACTTCCTTCTCAGTAATGAAGAGAATGAGGCCATCGCCGCGGTCGAGGCCATTAACGCGATCAACAACACGAACACTATCCGGTCTGGACATTCGACATGCCTACGATTCAATCGATCGGGTGACCTCTTGGCCTCTGGTAGGGTGGACGGCACAGTGGTCATCTGGGATATTGAAACAATGGGTGTAGCGAGGAAGATGCGCGGCCACCACAGGAGCATCACTTCGCTGAGTTGGTCAAGGTGCGGTCGATACCTGCTGTCAGCGTGCCAGGGATGGAAGGCTGTCTTATGGGATTTGAAAGATGGCAAACGGTATCGCGAGGTCCGTTTCCGGGCTCCGGCATACATCGCGGAGCTCAATCCCTTCAATCAGTGAGTTGAACAGCCCGTTCATCCGTGAAGCTGACCGTTTGCTAATTTGGCAAGTCACCAGTTTGTGGCCTCGATTTTTGAGGATCAGCCGATCCTCGTCGATGTGTCAGACGTGACCGATGTCAAATACCCCCTTAGCTCGGCACCGAAGCGCCCCGACATCGACGGCGAACCTACCGAGAAACAGTTGAAAGACGACGCCAAACAGATGACCACCGTTACGATATTCACCTCTACGGGAGAGCATATCCTGGCGGGAACCAACAAGGGGTGGATCAACGTCATCGATGCAAAGACTCGCAAGACGATATACTCAGAAAAGCCATGCAGCGGTGTCATTACAACATTACGCCTGAACAACTCGGGGAGGGTTCTCCTGATCAACGCACAAGACCGCATTGTCAGAACCTTCCATATTCCTAATCTCGCGGCCGAGGACCTCGATCTCGATACGATACACTTCACAGAAGAACACAAGTTCTCAGACCAAGTTAACAGGCTGTCATGGAACCACGTCACATTCAGTTCCGCCTCCGAGTACGTCGCAGCATCAACGTACAATAACCACGAAATATATGTCTGGGACAGAGGCATGGGCAGCACAGGCCTGATCAGAATCTTGGACGGTCCCAAGGAAGAGCAAGGTGTTGTAGAATGGCACCCGGATCGACCCTTCATCGCAACGTGCGGCCTTGAGACGGGAAGAATATACATTTGGTCCGTCATACCCGAGCAGAAGTGGTCCAGACTTGCGCCCGACTTTGCGCAGGTGGAAGAGAACCAGGAATACGAGGAACTGGAAGACGAATTCGACATATACGGTCAGGAGGAGCTGCAAAAGAGACGCTTAGACGCGGAGGATGAGGAAGTGGACGTCGTTACTTCGACGGCCATCAATGGGCACATTAGCGATGCTGGAGCATTCCGTATGCCGATACTCTTCGACCTCGGAGAGAGCGATAGCGAGGAAGAGTTCGTTGCGGTATCTACCGGTACCATGCGGAGAAGGAGTCCGGGTGCGGACGGCGAGATACCGGACAGCGAAGTCGTTGAGGACAAGATGACCTCTCGAAAGGGCAGGATTGGTGGTAAAGGTCGGAGAAGATGAAGAAAATAATACCCCGAGTCGTTGATGATTTCTACGTTGACAGGCTTCTAATGAACTGAAGTTGAAGCGTGAACACCAAAAACGCGTGACATGGCGTTGGATCGCGTCGCCATGGGACGAGCTTCGTTGGTGTGCGGACCCTTGCTCGGACTTTAGCGCGATGGGGCTTGCAGTGATGTAAACCAGAACAATTCAGGACTCAAAAAGCTCTCGAAGCTGGGTGGCTGCTTAATAATGACGAGACTCCGACAGCCATTGGGAGAAATGCTAGACAAAGCGAGGGAGTCGAGTCTCAAAAGTTCTCAGCCATCAAGTCTTGTCAAAGCCAATTTCATCCTTACCGCTGCAAAGGTTCCGCAGGAATTCTTGACTCATCGGTGTGATGCAGACAGCTGAGGTTCCTCAGGACTTTTCCTTCTCGCACAGTGAGCGATCGACCACGGGAAATGTACATAGCAGAGAGGAGAGGATGGAGTACCTAGTACTTAAGTCCGACGGCGATTGCTCCTGCTGTTTCATGACTTTTGTGGGTTCCCTCGACCTCGGGCACGCGTATCTAGCCTGAGGAAGGTAAAGGAGGGTAATTGCCAAATCCGGCTAGCGTAATTCTGCCGGCTGTGCCAGCCGCCTGGAGGCAAGATTTGTTTCTGACCTCGCTCCTCATTCTCGCCTCCACGGTCTTCACTTCTACAACTCCGTCAATCCACGCATCGACAATCACCACGCGCGTCGGAAATCGCGCCCCTGGACCGCACATTCATTTCCGACACGATACACGACTCGATACGACCGCGATAATTTTCGATTCTTCGACACACTTACGGTGGCGGCGATTGGGAGGATCAGTGGAACCTTCTCCTGGGCCGCTGGCCGGGGACTGGTGTAGTCAAGAGCGCCATCGATAGACGACCTTGTCCGATTTTTCCATCTCGAAAAGCGTTTCGCGCGATAGATTCTCGCTTTCCGACTTTTTTGCGCCTCGTTTGCGACATTTCCGGGTCGCGTAACGACTATCGGCGACTTGTGCCTGTTTTACGACACTATACCTCGTGGTTTCCCGTTGACACATTCTTTCTCAACGACATCGAAAACACCGTCAAAATGGCGAATCTTTACTTCACGCACTCGAGTGCGCCGATCAAAACGGTCGAGGAGATTCAGTTCGGCCTCATGGCTCCTGAGGAGATCAAGAACATGAGTGTCTGTCACTGTGTCTACCCTGAGACCATGGACGAGACACGGACAAAGCCTCGTGACGGCGGTCTGAACGATCCTCTCCTCGGCTCCATCGATCGTCAATTCAAGTGCAAGACCTGCAACCAGGCGATGGGTGAATGTCCTGGACATTTCGGCCACATCGAGCTGGCGAAGCCCGTCTACCATCCTGGCTTTATCAAGAAAGTCAAGAAGGTTTTGGAGATTGTCTGCCATAACTGCAGCAAGGTCTTGGCCGACAGAGTTAGTCTACTCTACGATGTCTGACAGCCGCCTTGACTTGATTTTGCTAACCTGGCTTCTCAGAGCGACCCTGAATTTCTCCAAGCTGTGAACACGAGAGACCCCAAGGTTCGCTTCAACCGCATTTGGAACATTTGCAAGAAGAAGACTCGTTGCGAAAACGAGGTCAAGGAGCAGAAGCCCGATGATGGAGAGTACGGCCTGAACATGAAGCAGGCTCCCGTCAACCACGGCGGCTGTGGAAACATCCAGCCCAGGGTACGGCACAAGGCTCTGCAGCTCATTGCAAAGTACGAGGCTCAAGGCGAAGACGGCGTCAAGAAGAAGGAAGAGCCCCCAATCACTCCAGAGATGGCCCACAACATCTTGCGTCGCATCAGTGACGATGATCTGAGAGATATGGGGCTTAACCTCGAGTACGCTCGCCCAGAGTGGATGATTGTGACCGTCCTTCCCGTCCCGCCCCCGCCTGTCCGTCCCAGTATTTCTATGGATGGAACCGGTCAGGGACTCAGAAACGAAGACGATTTGACCTACAAACTCGGTGATATCATTCGCGCCAACAGCAACGTCAAGCAGGCCATTCGCGAAGGCTCGCCTGCTCATATTGCGCAAGATTTCGAGCAGCTTTTGCAGTACCATGTGGCTACGTACATGGACAATGACATCGCCGGTCAACCTCGTGCGCTGCAAAAGAGTGGTCGTCCCGTCAAGGCTATTCGTGCACGTCTTAAGGGCAAGGAGGGTCGTCTTCGTGGCAATTTGATGGGAAAGCGTGTCGACTTTTCGGCACGTACTGTCATTACCGGTGATGCCAACCTGTCTCTTGATGAGGTTGGTGTTCCTCGCAGTATCGCAAGAACTCTCACCTACCCCGAGACCGTCACCCCGTACAACATCGGCAGGCTTCACGAGCTTGTTCAAAACGGACCCAACGAGCATCCAGGAGCGAAGTACGTCATTCGCTCCGACGGTACAAGAATTGATCTGCGCCACCATCGCAGAGCTGGACAGATTTCTTTGGAATACGGCTGGAAGGTAGAGCGTCATCTGATTACGGGCGATTATATCATTTTCAACCGTCAGCCATCTCTGCACAAGGAGTCTATGATGGGTCACAGAGTCCGCGTCATGCCCTACTCAACTTTTCGTCTGAACTTGTCTGTCACCTCCCCCTACAACGCCGATTTCGACGGTGACGAGATGAACCTTCACGTCCCCCAAAGTGAAGAGACGAGAGCTGAAGTCAAGGAGCTGTGCTTGGTCCCCATCAACATCGTTTCCCCGCAAAGAAACGGTCCTCTGATGGGTATCGTGCAGGACACTCTTGCTGGTGCCTACAAGCTGTGTCGTCGTGATGTGTTCCTCACCAAGGAGCAGGTCATGAACATCATGCTGTGGGTTCCCAACTGGGATGGCAATATTCCCCAACCCGCTATCATTCGGCCCAGACCGAGGTGGACTGGTAAGCAGATCATGAGCATGGCAGTTCCCAA